GTTTAAGTATTAAATACAGTAAGTGACATTCCTGAAGCTCCTGGCAAGGCAGCTGGGCAGACAGGCAGCTAGGAGTTGAGAAMATAAGGGCTTTTATTAGATGATGGTCAGAAGTTTATAAGGTAGRTGGAAGACAGACAAGCAATTCCACRATGTCCTTGTGCAAGCTCCAGCACTGCAGTGTGTTTAGTCTGTCTGTGTATCAGCCAATACACTTTTCACTGAACTCCAGAACTCTCTGYGAGCAACTTTTTATATTTGAATATATCTGTCTATCCTTGAAGCAACTTGGATAAAATATTTCCCCTTTCTTTCCTTCCTTCTGCTGACGATCTTATTCCATGYTAGAAGCATTTTTTAGCAAAATGTTAAGCAATGCTATTGCTACTGTTGCCAATTGATAGACATGCTCTAATGCAAACAGCCTGGGAGACAATCCCTGTGCTTCTGAYATTTTGAAGGCATCACACTGATTGTTAAGTAGTCCATTAGGGATGTTCTAGGTTTTGAAATGTATTGATTTAAATTAATGTACCTATCAACGTTACAAATGCAGTTTGTAGCAAACGGCTTAAAATGTATGAATGATAAGCCATAAATAATATCTGTGGCTGTAAATTAAATTACTTGATTAGGCTGCAAAGATGCACTCTAATTTGGAACAGAAAATTACTTTGAAGTGATTTCAGCAGCTGATAATTCTTTTAGAGTAGCAGAGTTTTATGAGCCMTAGTCTTCTTCAAGTGAGGCATCAGACCAACATGGTTGGTTGGGTATTGCTATGCCCTGAATGCAATGGATATGACAGGCTGGCAAAATAATGAATGACAGCTTTTTAAACTAAAATATGAAAGTGCTTTAAGTCAAATACATAAATTCTTTTCTGATAGAATGTGAATAACCTTGGGTTGGGTGTGAGCTCAAAGCTCTTAGAAGGGCCTTAATTTTGAAAGGCAGCAGAGACAGCATATATTTTTATATACACATAAATATAAAACCAATTCAACTTGAAGAGTGGTGGCTACTTCCAGTTGTCTGGGTGCATTTTTTTTTATAACCCAGTATTTCTAAATGTCCCRTTAACTGGGGCTTGGGGTCCACCTCTTTCTTCTGAGTTCTTCCACTAGATCTCAACTCATACATTTGTTGCTCTGAAAGCCAATTTCTCGGCACTTTGAGTGTGGGTTGKTTTTTTTCTCCTTTAATAAATGCAAATAATGGGAGATGGTGTGGTCATGCATCACAGGATGATGAAGAATTCAAAGCGCTTCAAGTAAAGGGGGCTTGTTTGATCTCTCAAACCAATATTACAAATCATTCAACAGCAAGACTTGTTTAACTATATTTTGATTTCTCCTCTGCTGGGTCTGGTTGGGCAGAAGTGTCTAAGTTCTAGATACATATATATATGTATCTATACATATATATATGTTTAYATTATTCAATTAGCATTTATATTTAAAACTTCCATTGATTGATAGATTCATATTCCATGTCCCCCCGAAAGGATCAATAAATACAGAAGTATTTATTTACACGGTCTAATTATTTGGTGGAATATATTGCCACAAAACATTTTGGGGACAATATAAAAATAATTTTTATAAGCTATTGGATGAATCACTGGGAAAAAAAATTCCTCTCTTTCTCTTAAGCACTGTGATYTGCTACCATCTGAGTCAGAAAATTCCTCTTCCACCAAGCATTTGCCTTCAAGATTGCCAGAAGCTTGGAAGTCATACCATACTTGGAAGAAAAGTGTTATTTCATGTTTCCTCTTGCCTCCCCTGTTACTCTGTATTTTTCCTTCAGCATTTACTGTTGGCCCCTGTAGGTGGGGTAAGATCAACCTGTTGTCTGAATACGGCTATTTTCATGTATGGATAGATTTTTCAGAAAGACCTTAAACTTTAGAGATCAGTAATTAGAGTAAAGAAATGAATTTTTTTTTTTTTAGTTTTAAAGACATGGATGCAATGATATGAAGAAATGGAGTATATTGTGAAATCCTTATCTTTGTAAAATATGAAAAAAATGCAAATCAGAGCTTAAACAAATGCAAACTACACTGAATGTCTTTGAAGATTGTGGATAGGCAGTTTTCAGTTGGACCCCAYGCAACACCCACATAATTAGTAATGTATTTTCTTAATGAATTGACCTTGCAGAACTGCCAAAACACAAAGTATTGAGCAAGTAAACCCAAAGCCCAAGGGAATTTAAGGAATCTACAGTTATGTTGTATCTAACCTATATCATGTATTCCACAGCACCAATGAAGGAATTTCCTTCTACTCAATGTGAATTTCATCCTTTTGGGTGAATTAATCTTTAAATGAGGTCTGTTGACACTGTCTCATAACATGAAAAATAGCTGGATATCTAAAGTAACCTTAGTAATCATTAATTTTCTAAGTGAAGGTTAGAAGGGCAKTTTCACATCCATTTTTTACTTTATCCTACTTTTCTGGTATTAATCAGCCTGTCCTTTGGCTCAACTGCATGGGCATTAAGAGTATCCTATWACCATTGCAAATAAATGGAGCAATAAAAAAAATCTTTTCCACCTACCTCATGTAAGGTCTGTGAGACAAAGACTTTTCTTGGTCTCTTATTTCAACAGTGCACTGGAGCCTGACTACCAAATGATTGACAAAAAATTATTCTAGATGAGGAAAGTTTACTACATTTTTCTCTTAAATCTCTTCCCTTAAGATAAGGCATTGGAAATCYGGAGTTCTGAGTGCAGTCATGGTAATTCACATCTTTATGTAACTCASTCTAAGAGTTCACTGTCTGAATCTGCTAAATTATAGCAAATGTTTGATTGTGGACTTACAGATTGTTCTCTAAGCCTCTGGAAGAATTTCTCCATGTCCCCAAACAACACTTTTTTACCCAGCTCTCTCATTTTCTTTCTCCCAAAGAGAACCAAGTGGATTAAAACTGTGGCTTTTAAAATGAGTGCCTAATGAATTGCCGTGTTATGCCTCTTTTTTTTCCTGTAACACAGAGAAAAAACATTGCAGTTGGAGTTAGAGGCAAGTTATGAAATCCCTGATGTGCAACAACTGTAGGGTAAATGAGTTGAATGGTTTTGCCTGGTCACAAGACAGACAACATAAAAGAGGAACAGCAGTGAAATTATCAGCAGAGCTTTTGGCTAAGAAAAATCTCTTAAGAACTCTGTAGCACTTCAAGGCCTGGCTAGAAAGACTAATAATATAGTCTWCCTGCTTTTTATTTATTGTATTGAACCCATTCAGCAGCAACAGACTGTCTGACCTGTGCATGGGATTAGTTTCCAGTGGAGCTGTTATATTTCAGACTCCTAAAAGCAAAATCCACTTGACATCTGGGAGAAAAGGGCAGCAAATATATTACAAAATTTAATGAATCCAATGGAAGAAAGGGTTCAACTAAAGTTGAAAAATAAAGTTGAAAAATAATCATGTTTTAAATATGAATGGGTAGGATAGGCTATTACTGTATTGCTTTACTCCTGCTTTTAATGGGGCATCATTGTAATTTCTAATTGGGTTGCACCCGTGTAAAACTGGGAAACAGAGCCTTTARGCTATTTTAATTTATAATAGGATATAAATTATTTGGAGCTGAAATTCCATCAGTTTAATGGCACAATGTCAAAAAGTTTAAGCTACATCCATGAAAAATACTGATTTTTCTAACTATGTGCAAATGTTAGTGCTTTTCAAGTCTGTATTTGACATTTTGTCAGTAACCAATATGAAGAAAAAAGGAGACATTTCCTTGTGCTCAAAATCAAGCCCATCAATGATACCAAACAATTTGACTCTTGTCTGCCTCCCTCCTCACAGCTGAAGAGGCTCAGAAACACAGGCAAACAAGCAATTGTCTGTAAATAGAATATAATAGATGCTAATAATTAAAATATGGCTGATTAGTCATTTCCTGSTACCTCCACAACTTTTCCTGGTTTGCATTTCATGACTGATGGCCACACTCTGGTTACATCCTAAGTGAATTCTACATAGGCCTATTCCAACAGTATCTTCAATTTAATGACTCCTCAGTATTTGCTTTAGTCAGCCAATTTCTACACCTAGAACAAACCCAGATGGACTTTCCTACCCCTCAGRAAAAAGCTTCTGTTTTAATGATTTAAATGTGTTCTAGTAAAAATATTCCAGCTCGTAGAATATTCCCTTCCTATGGAGGCTACATAGCACCTGTATCCTTCAATATGACTTGATTAAATGACACCTATRATTAATTAAGGCAAAATTGCATTGGGTAGGATGGTCACCTTCTGTACAACTAAAAAGAAATGTTCTGGAACAAAAGAAGAGCCATTCTATTCCTGTTCTCCCAAGCTCTGCTGCAAATATAGGCTGACAGGTTAATAAATGCACTTCTAAACAGTTTTAAGAAGTCACGCATCTGATTCAAGAATTCTGTTCCTTGGTTACCTTACTATTCAGCTACTGAAAACTTGATTTCCCCATCTGTGAGATGACAAAATTGAATGAAAACAGCATTAATAYTTATGTTCTAAATAGAAAAGGCTTTCAAAGCATGTTCATAAAGGGGAAAATAAAAGCAGAAATTTATCCAAAACTTTCCAGCCTTTTGCAAATTTAAAATTTATCAGCCTTGCTGCCAGGATTTGTTGGTTTAAGAGCAAGTGATCGTATTTTATAAAAAGTATTAATATAGGTTAACTTTAACATCATTTGAATGGTCTCTATTATGTTGACCAGTTAATTTCAACTACAGTTCATACTGTTATGAATATGTATTCCAAAATTGCCCACAGGTGGGAAAAAATATGTTTATTGGGTCTTGTGAAAATGTTTAATGATGGCAGCTTATATCCTACATTAAGATCATTYAACAGAATGTGTGTGCATGTGAACACATACCAGAGGTATCACTAAAATTATATGAAAATACAGTGAACTTCATTTCTTTCACATTGTATTTAAAATCTCATTTATAATTAATCATGTTGCCTTCTTCGGAATAAAATCCAATACCTTATATAACTTGACAATCATTAGAAGCATCTGATGAAAAATTCAATGTTTTGTTTGAAACAATTTTTTAAATCCTTATAAATGGAATTTYTTTCCTGGTATTGTGGCCTGCCAGTATTTCCCACTTTTCTGAGATATRCTCCAAAATGGTTGTATCAAAATGTCCAACTATTAACACTTCATGATCTGCCCTCTTATGACTTCCATTTACCCACTGAGAGAACATGCAAAAAAAGGAGCAATTTTCACACATTTTTCTTCACATTCTTATAAAAGCAACTGTCATCCCAAGATACTTTTATTATTACTTACAGTCTTACATTAGTTTCCAGTTCAAGAGAGAAAAATCCTTTAGGCAAGAAGCAAAGGCCCAGTGCAGGAACTGACTCTCCAGGCAGTACAAGCATAAAATAATAAAATATTTGGACATTTGAATTCAAGCATACTGAAGAACAGCTGCTCAAAAGTAGTGACAACAACTTCTGTGCAAAGCCTGACAGTRTTTTGTCCTTTTTGCATATTGAAAAAGCCCACAATTGCACACAGGACAAGGCAGAAAAACCCCAACCCTTTGCTAACCGTTTCCATGTATAGAACTGGGTACAGTAGAGAAGTCCTGAAAGTGATGAAATTATAACAGATTTCTTTCAGAAGACTACTATAATTTACAAAATCATTTTTGATTTTAAATTGCACGGAATGAGTGTGGAGTTTGTGGAGTGTGTCTCTCAGTCTGGGACGGAAAGAGTGAGAGATTTGGTGTTGTTTGTTTACTACAGGGGTCAATAGAGATGCTCTGGTGCCTTACTGGAAAAGGAAAAAGTTCCTGTCCTTTCTTCTTCATCTGCATTTGTAAAGCCATTCTAATTTAACTTGTAGTGTATATTATTGCCCACAATGAAGATGAAAAGGGTCACCTGTGTTTAAGGACATTAAAAGAAGTCCATRGCTAACCAAGGAACTAAGATTGCAAAAATGGTCTCTGAAATATTAACTTCCCCAACAGATCCTTGGGCTCTCTGGACGGGTGCAATCGACAGTAACAGACTCACCACAGAAGTGGTGGATGTTCTTTTCACAAGGCACTCATTTTTTACTGCTGTGACTTGGCACCATCATGTGGCCACTTTGAGTTTTCTCAACTTAAGTAACAGTTTATACAGAAAACCATTTGCAATTAATTAATTTAAACTTAAGTATTTCAAGCTACTTTAGAAGGAGAAGGTACACATCTTAAATCTATCTGTTCACTAACTGAACAAATGAATATGCTGAATAATGGTCCTTTTTTTTTCACCRAATCTGAGATTTTTTAATCAAGGTTTTCCTCATGTTCTTTAAGCCAGGTTTTATTAGGTTACAAAAGACATTTTCAGTGCTTCATCTTGGCCTAAACCTTACCAATAGCGCACAAAAATTAGTATGATATTACAGACAGCTGTCCTCTTCCTCWCTACATGAACTGTGGAAATTACTTTCAGAATTAAACAGGTCATTATCCCAAAGGATTTAGAACTTCAGTCAATCTCCCAGGAATATTGTTCACCTTGTTTGATCCAAACAGGGAGTGTACATCTCAGAACTTGAGTCAATCAGGTATTCCTCTTGCAAAGTTTCAGAGTCAAAATCAGAAGACAGGTATGTGTGATGTTAATTCATATTTTGAGGTTTAGGTAGACACGAGAAAGTTTCACCATTAGTGTTTAAGAGGCCCAGAGGTGGAAATCTTATTATATTCAGGTTGTACAGTGACAACTTTACGTTTGCCAAAGGATTTCTGTGACATTGTTCTGAGTGGAATAATGAGAAACAGCTGTGCAATTTACAGGAGTACATTATTKCTCTTTTTAAAAATATATGTACATCTAGAGTATATTCAGTAATGAAACACAATTCATTATATTTTTAGTACAATAATGGGAAATTTAATTCTGTAATTTWTATGATAAAATATAGTTTCAATTGAAGCAGTGATAGTCTTTAAAATATATACAGGTTATATACAAATAAAAAGTTACATTACAAATCTTTTAATTGAAATAAAAAATAACYCTACACATTTTGCAATAAATTGTACAACCCTGTTTCTAAAAAGACTGTAATAAAATAGAATGCAATTTGTCAGATTCGTCAGGCTGAGGAAATGCCCACTTATTCTTTACATACTGAATGTCCAACTGTCCAGATTCCTTGGCCAACACGATGCCTAACAATCCATTTGCTTTTTCTGGCTCTCCCAGCAGAGTCATAGTAACAACCCTGAAATGAAAAGAATGGRGAAATGTTCTTTAATTGAGGTAAAATTAATAGAAACTGGTGCTTTCAAACATGTTCACATCAGGTTACTTACAGTCAACTAAATGATTCTTCTTTCTATTCAAGTCCCACTAGCTTTTTACCAGTTGCAACCATTTAATATAAATATAGCATGCAATTCTTCCCCCATGCATTTCATCATCAATTTCTAACCATGGTTGAAAATTACTTCAAGCTTGTAAAAACAAACAACGTTTTATGGCCTTGTCCAGTACAGTGTAACAAATTTAAAAAGGTAGTTTGTTTCCATATCTTTGGTAGTTCATAAAAKAGAGTTAGAAAATCAAATTTGCAACAATATTAGTATTTTTTTTAAAAGAGAGCACTTACTTCTCTGATGGGACAGTCTGCTTTGCCACAGGCAACAAATCGTTTTCCAGAAGATCCCAAATGTAAATATTGGATGATGCATCCAGGACAAAGAACACAGCAGGTCTTGTCAAAGCCCACTGCAGGGCAATAATTGGCTGGCCTTTGGTGCTGTCATTCCACTGCATGAGGGGATACTCTGATGTCATCTGGTGCAATCTAATACTTCCATCTGAACAGCCAACCTGTATCATAGTCAAAAGAAAACACCTTCTGAAATAAAACAAAACTAAGCAAGATATAAAAAGTAGTGTGGCTTACTGAGGGACTTGGCAGTGGTAGGTTAAGGGTTGGACTTGATGATCTTGTGGGTCTTTTCCAACCTAAAYGATTCTGTAATTTTTTTGTCACTCTTCATRGCAGATTGGAATTAGTAAGGTAAATCTGCTATCACGTCTGTTTTAAATAAACCAAATAAGCAATACTCCCTCAGCAAGTAATTAAAACACAAAGTTTCTATTAAAATGTTTTCATACCAAAAACAGTGGCTTTCCAAAAGGGGAGAAATCAATTGCAGTGATGCTTATTGATCTCAGTCCGCTTTCCTGGGGCCTGAATAGCTTTGGAAAAACTTTAAAGTCATGTCTTGTACCGTGGCCTACAAGACCCTAAGAACAATATAAAGAAAATTAATGAAACAAAACAGAAGTTGCATTATTGGTATTACAAGAAAATGTTAAATAATTYACAGAGTTGCTACTTTAAAAGATCCTTACCAGCTAACAAATTTTAATAGCTAACAGATTTTAATAATAGGCTCAAATTATAATTTTATATACAGTCTACTGATAAAATTCCAACTAAATGAGACAGATTCAAAAACAAAACTACAAGATGAATTCCAGCACACTACTCACGATGTTTGTTCCAACAATGAAGTGATTTGGATTAGAAGACAGAAATTTAATCATCAGTGTCTGTGGCATTCTCTGGCTAATATCCTTTGGGAAAAGGCTGCGAAAAATGGCAAAGGCAAAAGATGACATTAATACAGGAAATCATCCCCTAAAGCAGTGCAAATACATGCAGAAACTCTTGATCTAAATGTCTATGACTAGCTCTAGGAAAAAATGTGTGTACAAAAAGCCCCATGAACAGCTAAGGAAAATATAAACGTTAGATATATCTTATCTAACAGCAAATTAGTGAAGTATATGAAAAATTAGCTTTCTGAGACACATATGTAAAATTGAAATACCCCAGTTTTCTTACCTGTTATTCAATTCCATAGCAGAGCTATGTACTAACTTCACCTTCCCTCCAGGAACTAAACCTAAAATGATATAAAATTATTATTTAAACTGTTTTAAGCCCTCTGCATAAAAAAATTTGCAGTCATTAAATGAAATCCTAAGGTAATAAGTAAAAGGATATTTCATAATTAAATTGCGTACCACAGATACAACTTTTGATACGTAAGAATCTTGTATCATTTAGAACTATTTGCTTCAGAATTCAAAGCTGAAGAGTTACAATCTTTGATAGAGACATGGTTATATGTTTCTTTTTCAGCACTCTGTAAAACCCAATTCTAGCAATGGTTAAAATACGTATTTGTGTCAMCTGGATCTTTGACAATGAATTATATTAATGAGATACTGTAATAATGCATCCATGAAGTTAGTCAATGTTACTTGTTTGTAGAGAACAACATAAATAATTCAAATCTTTCAAAGACAAGAATTTCTCGAAGAGGAGAAACATGAATGCTGGTTGCAGTAAAACTGTGTCAACACATGACCACAGATTTAAAATGTAYCTCTCCACAGACATAATACCCAGCTTTAGCAGCTTAATATAGCCTAACATTGCACAAGAGCTTATAGAAAACTGATCGAAAATTCTGGTTTGCTAGCATTACTTCATTGTTTATTTATGTCTTTTCAAAGACACATGGATTTTAGTCACAGCCTTTTCCAGTTAGGTGGAAGTGTAAATTTAAACCATGCAAATGYAAATTTATTTAAAGAACAAAGAATGTCATTTTCTTCATTTACATAACTCAAAAAGGACTGAATGGACTTAATTCTTCAGCTTTTTCACAGAAAACGTTTTCTCACACTAAATTAAGTACCTTACCTAAAAAATGGCTTTTAGGACAATTATGAAAATGGAGACACAGGCAACAACAAAAGCATTATAGGAAGTTTGGTTAAACTAAAATAAGAACAGGAGGACCGAAGACATAGAATCTCATATTCTTTGAAATAAAAGCTGTTGACAACACAGAAAACTGCTTTGCATTTTAAGAAATGTGGCTGTCTGATGGCAATTGCCAATACAAAGTTAGCAGATGAGATTAGCATAGCAGTGAAAAAATTATTCCTGTTATACGTAACCAGTAACCCCAAACATCAGATATGAACTGTTCAGAACAAAYATTTTCCTCAGTAATTTTGTCTTCTTCTAAACTACTTCTTTACATCACTTCTTTACATCACTGATTCTTCCTCTCTCTTTTAACTTCATAGGCTCAAAACTGGAGCATTTTATTCTACCTCTAACATACAGTACTCACCTAAGTCAGTTTGTGAACCAGCTAAATCCACTTTTTGTAATTCAACGACTACCTGAAAAGTCAATATTTAACATTAATAAACAATTCAATAAAACAATAAACAACTTCAAAGTTTTTTAACAAGTTGCAATAGTAAGTACTAACTTTAAAGGACTGTTTGGAGATGATGCTCTAACATTACAATGATTACAGGWAGATTCTCTACTCCCTGTCAATGTCTGCAATTCTAAAAATAGCTTCACACGTCTCTGGATGTGAATGATGGAAAGCAGAATATGGAAAGCTGCATTCTACACTTAATTGCTAGTTAACACTGTGTTGGTTTGGTCAGTCACAAAAAAAAAACAAAAAAAAAAACAAAAAAACACCTTAAGCCCCCAAAATAAGGAATTGTAATACATTTCCTGTGCTTTCCACTACACATGAAATAGAAAAGGGTAGACCATATGGCCTGAACCTGTTGCTACTTAGGTTACTAAAYGTAAGGCTTTAAAAGGAACTTGATTATTGACATAGAGGTGAAATACTTTTATCCTTTATTGTTCACAGGTTCAGCAGCTGAACAATAGCTGTTGACCAAAGCTTCATCAGGAAAAAAAAACCACTGAAAACATGTGATAGAAGAATTGTTGGGACAGTAAGAGCAGCAGACCTGGTGCTTTCCTGTCCATCATATTTTAGGCAAGGAAATCTTATCCTCTAGTTTTCACACTTTATCTCTTAAGCATATGTTTTATATAAATTATTAATTTAATTTSTCCCCTACATTCAGTATAGTCTCTGACATCACTGTGATTCTAAAATACAGTACATGAGTAAAAGAGAACTAGGGACTATAAATCAATTAATAGAAATACGTGAACACATTTTTATGAACCAAAACTACTCATTGCCTTTTTCCATGAATTCATGTACCTGTTAATACTTTTGCCTAAAGATAACATTAATGAGTCAGATCAAAAATTTTAAGCAGAATTTTAACAGAAWGGTTAGTGCTGCTGTACTTTTCAGGGAGGCAGCTGTCATCAGAAACTCAGAATTCAGGTTGTTATATTTGAAGTATTTTATTGTTCCAACACATTATACCCACTCTTTTCATACATATATTACTCACCCACATATTGAGGATTCCATTTTCATCCATTGAAGCTATCTGAAATGGAGGGCCTGACATTTCTATGAAAGGAATGGCAACAATTTATATTCATACACTGACCTTCTTCCTGAACAGTATCAAAGGATTTGAAACATTTCCTACATTAATACATCCTCTGAAAGTTCTACAATCCTCTCAGCTGCATAAAAAGGGAAAGTGCTCTAAYTCTACTGAAGGAAAAAAAGGCATGAAACTTTCTTTACTGACAGGGTGGTCAAATATTGGAGCAGGTTTCCCAGAGAGGTGATCAATACCCAAGGCCTGTCGGTGTTGAGGAGGCATTTGGACAATGCCCTTAAAATCATGTTTTGACTTGGTCAGCCCTGACTTGGTGAGGCAGTTGGACTGGATGATCCTTGTAGGTCCCTTCCAACTCAAGTCTGTTCCATATCTGTCTGTTCCTCTATGTGCAGTTTGTCCTACCAGAAAGGCAGATGATCTCTGTCTGCATCTTTTTTTAAATGTCTGGGTACTCRTGGACTTTGGAAGGGAACATAAAGTGAAACAGATGAAATCTTGTAAAACCCGCAATATGCAGCACATTTCTTTATGGAACCACTGTGGATTTCAAAGTACAAATCTGCAATGGAAGTGATAATGTCTTCTCTAGCACACTGTCTGCGAATTTGATGATGTGAGGATTAGAGTTTCTTTGCAAAGGTTGGTCATAAAAAAGAAATTGAAAAAAGGCGCAGGAAAAGCCACAAATTACAGCCACACATTGTAAGTGCTTTCAGATATAAGCAAGTGGCTCCACTGATTCAGATGGGGTTTTTTGACATTAGAGAAGCACTAACACTCTTCCAGAGGCAGCTCTTGAGTAATAACTTGTTTTATTAAATATTGTCTGGAAAACAGACATTAAAACAAGCACACACCCACATCTGATGCAGAGCTGCACTGAATGAACATTAAATAAAAATGAGAACAGAAGACAAATATGAATGTTGAATGCAATKGAGACTACAAACAAAAGAGGCAGAGTAGGATTATAAACTGTATTTTGGCTATGATATATTTGTTTCACTAGATACYTAAAGAAAGACTCATTTATTGATGCTTTGAAGAGCAGCTTACATACCCTCCTGATAAGAGAGGCTTGAGAACCCATAACTGTGGTCACTGTTGAGAGAAGTTGAGACAGGTTCCACTGACAGTATAGGAGAGGTGTGGTTCACTGAGTTTAGAATGCCATCTGTAAGTAAGGGTAATGAAAGTTAAACATAGGACTTTCAACAAAAAAAAAACCCAAAAAAACCTTAATCACTTTTCATTTTATGTGAGAATCATGGTTACAAAGAAAGAATGGCAAATAATAAACTTTGCAAAAGTCTTAAATACAATACTGCAAAGTGTTCCCTAAATCAACAAAATACTACTAGATAAATCAATGTTTCAATATTTCTACTCACTTCTCATTTTCCAAATGACTTCTGTACCATTTATACCACTGTACCAGACATTTCATTAAAATCTGCCACTTCAGGGTTAGCATGGAAAGAATTATGATTATTTCAAKCTCCATAAACAACAGGAGTGGAAATAAATCACTTTACTTTCAAAGAAGACAAAATTGAAGAAAGATTACTCTTAGCAGAAAGTATATTGAAAAATCCTGAAACAAAGAATTCACCACAGGAAAATATGTATTTACCCTTCTGTAACATTTTAAGGCAAATGTGTGTTTCRAGTAATTTCAATGTGTATTCTCTGTCAGATATTCACAATTTCTGGACTTGCCTGTGCACTGAACTTAATCTCATTTAAGACTAAAGGCATTAAAGCTTCCCAAGTATCCAGCATTAAATCTGCCAGCTTACATAAGCAAATACATGAAACAGTASACATACGTTTGACTAACAGTGTGCAACACAAACCAAGCATCTTTGACTTACTGAAAAAAGTTAAAAGTCTACCAACAACCAGCTACTGTTTGCTTTTACATAGCTGCTGCAATTAGAAACGCTTGTGAAGAAAACTGAATGTGCATAGTGGGTTGTTTTAGAAAAATAACAGTACCATATCTTAAGCTAAACAGAAAATCATAGAATGGTTTGGATTGGAAGGAATCTTGAAGATTCTCTCATTCCARCCCCCTGCCATGGGCCAGGTTTCTCAGAGCCCCATTCAACCTGGTCTTGAACACTTCCAGGGATGGGGCATCCACAGATTCTCTGGGCAACCWGTGCCAGGGCCTCATCACCCTCAAAGGAAAAAATGTATTCCTAATAATGAACCTAAACCTACCCTCCTTCAGATCATGGTCATTCCCCCTTGTCCTACCACTACATGCTCATGTGAAATGGTAGCATCTGCAYACACACACAAAAAGGGAAAAATACATAAAGAAAGACTTGTTTTGAAATAGCAAAATTACGTATAAAACTATTTCTATATGTTAATTCTCACTCTAGGTTATCTTGCATGAACCCTACAGAAACATTAAGACTTAGGTGACAGTTTCACTTTCCACAAAATGWCTAACCAGAATGCACAGATGCTCACCTGTGGAAAATGTGGGAACCCTGAATGTCCACTCAGTTTCACTGATCATCACATGAGGGTGCATTCTTGAGTCTTCTCGAAGATCCCACACCAACAGTGAACCATCTATTGTTCCAGCAAAAACTAATGTTGCTTTACTAGGACTAAAGCAGCAACATATCACCTGTTAAACAGTAAAAAAATACAGGGTTGATATTATGATAAAGGTCAATGATTTGATGAGCCTCAAATATGTTTGTGAGCATGTAAATCCAGAAAACACAGATTACATGTGTTTATGGCAGAAGAGCAATCTATTTTAAAAGGGAAGTAGAATACAAGTAGGCCTTCCTTTTTCAAAATTGTTGTGTAATCTGCATCTATTTCCACAAAGCTGAAACGGGTGACTCAACTGTATGAGAACGATGAGTGGAGAGATGTCCTGACAACATGTGTCCCAGATGTTTTACTTCCAATCACTCTTCAATCATGAAATAGAGCCAAAACTAAACGATCAATACAACCAAACACCAGGACCGTTCTACAATCTAGCTCTGGAGCACAAAACAGAATGAGAATAGTGCTTTGTTCACTAGGCTCAAATGTGTTTCTCAAAACATAGAACATGGCATATTTTGCAGCAAGACAAAAAAAGACTCCAAGTAAAAACAAAATCTTGCAATTTAATTAAAAATTAAAGTCTTGACGGGCAATTGATGGGAAAATATATTAAAACATACCTCTGAATCACATATTAAAACTTTCTGAGGACTGGARGGTTGCCAGATGTTCCAAACACTTATGAGGCTCTTTCTGCTCAGCAAACCAACACCTGCTTTTTCAGGTAATCCATGAACAGAAAGCAGTGTCTGCCTCTGAACTTGAGACACATAYAGGCAAGATATTTTTCGGTCTAAACCATTAAAACAAAGTCAAGAAAGAAAAGCAATAAATGRAAAAGCAAACTYRCTGCAGACGAARAARCATATTTAGCTGCTATAGCAACAAACAAAGAAACTAAGATGCAATTAATTATGAAGAATATTTCTATTAACACTGTGTTGCTTTTGAAGCTATTCAATAAAAATGGAAGGACTAGAGAAGGTATCCAAATATTAGAAGCAGAAAGCAAAAAGGAAGAGAGCTAGGAAATTAATAGAATAATTATWCTAAGCTTAAGCAAGCCAATCTGATCTGATTTCAGTATATTTACTGAAAATTAAACTGAGTCTCAAACAGGAAACAGCACAGGCCAGGCTTTTTTTGTTTCATCTCATGTGCTCGTGGTTAGATGACGCAGGGTTCTGTGTTATAAAAGGCTWTCCTAACATAATTACAGATGCTCTATTTTTAATTTTTCATCTAAACAGCTCCTCTTTATAGGGAGWAGATATAATTGCTTTTCAGATATATCAGGCTACAGTGTCCCTGTTCAATACCCTGCCTTTATTTGTAACTTTGGCCCTACTGTCAGCATAAAGAGCCCAAATGAAATTACACTCCTTAAGATGGCCCTTCAATAACAGGGACAAGAAATTACATACATCATGTTAATTGCTGGCTATATTTCTGGTAGGAATAGATGGCATATATTCTTTGTAAGAAGCTCTGATGTTCCCTATGTGAAGCCAATTTGCACAGAGTTCCAGCAAGATTAGTGCAATTAAAAGAGGGGTTTACATCATCTTTATATCCTGATATGTGCTGTTTGCACAGTCATGACAAAGAACATGGTACTGTGCATAAGAAAGAAGAGTTCACTCTGTACACTAAAAGGTGTAGAATAAAGTTCCCTTACCATGGAGGAACGGCTGGTTAGTATTTAACTGGAAACAGCTATCACTAATAGACAGACTGGTTTCTCGAGATCTTAGTTTCCTGGGTTGTGTTGCAACTTGATCTTCCTCTAGCAAAACAGCAATCACCTTTCAAACATAATTACATTTATAGAAATAAAAGGGTGATCTTATCTTTCAGCTTTGCTATTTGTAGCTTTCTAAAGTTATGTGGATTAATTTCATAAACCTTTATCAATTGCTTGCTAATTTTGTAACTTTGCAAATGCAGGTTTACAGATACAAAAGTTGCACAGCTCTGATTCCATTCCTTTGCAGAGAGATTATTCTCTTTGATAACATGTATTATTTAAGTAATTTATTTAAATTAGAACAAGAACTGTAAGTGATCTATCACATTGTATACTTATGCACACAACTTATAAGGGATATTAAGGATAAAAGTGTACCTGACAAGCAGACTGGAGGAAATTTGCTAATCTTTGTGAATCAATTTTAAGTGTTGGAGCTCCATTCACTGATGTATCCTGGCTGTTTATGGGACCTRTGAAAAACAGAAAAACAAAAACCAAACTTGAAGCTTCAAAAGGGAATCAGTTAAGAAAAGTATTAGGAAAATTTAATTTTTAAGCAAGTGGAGAGTGGCAGGAATCAACTTATCTTCAGCAGAAATAACAGCGTTGAAGGACAAGATCTGTTGGAGACTCATTTTTGCTGCCAACAGAAACATCAAGCCAGAAGGAAAGATTAGTTCTGCCACTTATTTTTCAGACCCTCCACATGAGGATTCAGTGCCTATGTCAGCTTGCTATCAGTGCAGCCTGCCAGTCTATAGACTCCAAAGAGAAATTTTGCATTATGTGCACTCATCCGTAAGTGAGCAAGATTAAAATGCTCTTCACCTCCAGATACAATAGCAGTTTCTCCTGGATGCTGTGTCCATTTCTCCAATGTCTCAACTTCCTCAGTCTGAATGTCTCTGTCAAGATTGTCCTCATTACAYTGCACATATGCCTAAAGTAGAAAGATAAAATTGATCAGTATATGGGYGACACAGCTAAGAATGACAGCTCATAACTAAACAGAACTTAGTAATTTTAAAACTGATGTGTTCAACCTCTTCTGTTTGTAAATTCAGACCTGGGCATACTGCCACACTGTCACTATTTTGTGCATGCACATTCTACCACATTTCACACCAGAGTGCTAAATAAATAATAYTGCAAAAATTCAGAATGTCTTCCATGATACTGTTTTGGTTTTGCTTGGCCCAGTTTTTGGTAGTGGGGGGCCACAAGGATGGCTCCTGTGAGACGCTGCTTGAAGCTTCCACCATGTCCAGCAGAGCCAATCCCTGATGGCTCTGAAGATGAGGGACATGCCACTAGCCAACGCCAGGTCAATTGGAGATGGTGGTAACACCTCTGTGATTAACATATTTAAGAAGAAAATCAAAACAAAGGAGTTCCTTTCTAGCCAGAGAAGAGGAAGASATGAGAATATGTGATGGAAACAACATGGATACACCAAGRTCAGTGGAGAAGGAGGGGGAGGAGGTGCTCCAGGCACCACAACTGAGGTCTGCAGGCCATGGTGATGACCATGGCGGAGCAGATGTGCCCTTGCAGCCCATGCGGTCCACAGAGGATGCAGAGATCCACCCTCAGCCCGGGGGGGAGGTGCCCATGCCAGAGCAGGTGGGTACCTGCAGGAGGYTGYGGTTCAGTGGGAGACCCCGCTGAGAGAAGGGGTCCCTGCTTCCAGGCTGGAACAGCCTATCCTTGAAGGACTGCGCCCCACGGATGAGTGACCCACACCGCAGCACTAGGGGAGATASTTTTTGTCTGCCCATGGGAGGGACTCATGTTGCAGCAGTTTTGGGACGACTGCTGCTTGTGAGATGGACCCACACTGGAGGAGTTCACAGAAAATTGTCTCCTGTGGGAGGGACACCACGGTACAGCAGAAAAAGATCCCAGGAATGAGCTGACCAAAACCCCCACGCCCTTTTCCACCTGTACTGTTAGTGGGAAAGAGGAATGGGCTGGGGTGAGAAAGGGTGYCATTAAGGGGTTATTTTACTTCTCTTTATCTTCCTCTGTCTCTGTAATAAACTCACTCTGTAACTTTAAAATGAGCCTGTTTTGCCCTTGGAATGTTTTTTCCCGGTTCCTTATCTCAACTCATGAGCATTTCATTAATGCTTTTTTTTTCTCTTCTCTGCCCAGCTGTGGTAGGGGAGAGTGCAGAGTGAGTAGCTGTTGTGGGTGCCTGGCATTTGGGCCAGAGTCAAACCATGACAGATGTGTAAACACCAAACCCAGCATATTCGGGGACAGTGACCCACAGACAGGAAAAAAGCCCTCTAGGAAATGGGGAAGGAAAATGAGAGTGCTCTTCTAAGACAGAAAGGACATGGCCTGTCAGTCCAAAAGTTTTAAGATCAGTGGTTTATGGCAATCGAGGCTTAAATGAAAATTATGAATTTATTACTTTACTGTTCTATTAGCTTTAGTAACTTCATTTTTTAAGGAAAATTATTTTCCAGAAGGAGAATCAGCCTTATGAGGATTAAAAAAAATTCTATGTATTTATTACGCACCTGCTTAGTGTTCATTTTTCCAAAATTCCTGATATACATGTCGTACTCATTGACAGGGGGCAAATCCAAGAATGAAAAACTAACTGAGAAATCCAGGTCAATCAGTGGGAGAAGTTCAGAACTCCGTTTTCTTTAGGACAAATTACAAGAGAGAAAYACAAAAATAGTTAAGACCAAGCATTTGGTATTCCTAAGGAAAGACAACCTAATTTTGTACAGTACCAGAGACCTAACAATCCTTTAATTTGCGTGAACTGAAGCTGTGCCAAAATTAATTAGCAAATAAAAATGTATCAATAAAAGTACATAGACTATTGTTTTGAGTTTTCATTTAATGTTATGCTGAGATAATGTTCATATTTGAAAATGCAATACTGATTGCAAATGGCAAATTTAACACAGTTTATTACTACAGCCAAACTATCAGAAGCTCAGCAGATCATCTTGCCTAAGTATTCAACAGCTTTTCTGTGAGGTAACAGATGAATGTCTCTTCCTTCTATAGCATGGACAGTGGATAATTCTCCTAAATTCATTTTATTAACTCACATCARTCCGATGTGTACATGCTTCATAAACATTTTCTGTAATGTCCTAGCTTTGCTAGATGTATGCAAATATATTTTGAATGACCTCCACTAGTAATAGACTGAACTTGTACCTCTTTACATTACTAGAGAAACAAATAAATTTAGCAGCAATCCTAAAATACATTTTAGGTATATACATAAAATGAATTTACTACAGATTCACAACCCCTGGATGTGGCCTCAAGTGCTAACAAGAGGCCTCCAAAAACACATTGGTTACTGGACAATTGGACTTGGTCTAAATGTATGAAAATGAATACTTGAGATTRAGGTAGACTGTATATTTTTCCACTTGCATTTTGTGTCTCAAATAAGAATAGCACACTGTACAGGATTTGAGATAGCTGAATCTCTTTGACCTATGAAATGCCAAATCTTTCCATCTTTCTAAATTCCCCTGCTGGAATGATAAAAAGTAACTCAACTGCCCTATCCATGTACCCTCAATTCTTTTATTTTCTGCCTACTTTAAATCTTGGTTTTTTTCATTATTGCTTACGAATAAATCTATATTTTGTTTCTTAACTGGAAAACTATTTACCTTCATATACTGTACCTTACTTTGTCAACTAAAAAATGTGGTATTACTTATTATCATCAGCTACAAAGAGATCCTTATCATTCTACTTGTATGGATGCGTGAATAACGAAAAGACTACAGTCTTTGTCAAAATTCACACACTATCTATCTGCTTCAATGCCATAAAGCTGTTAAGATATTTCATTTTAAGAGTGAACTGCTTGAATTACTTAGAGATGTCTGCTTGCAAGTCAATTCCATGCTAAAGTAGAGTGTTTGACAATGAGACAATTTTTGCAGTCTCACTTTCTCTCTCTTGCACTTGCAGGTTTTTTAAATGTACTTAAAAGCAGTAAATAAMTACAAAATGGATACAATTATGGATCTGTAGCAACTCCATAATAAACAGCCTTGCAGATGCATATTCTAATTACAGCTTCTTCTCAGTAAGATGGTATTTGAAAAGTGAAAAGACTAGAGCAACAAGATCTAGAATTTGATCGGTATTTTAAGGTGAATTTTTCTTTATGCGTAAGGACAATAAGGACATCTATTTCATATTCTTACCCACATCTTATTTCAACTTGTGCTTCCTAATATATCACCTCTTCACAAGCGTGGACACAGATTACTGAAATCTAACTCAAACTATGAAAGTTGCTTACTARTTGCAAATCTTAATGATACGTGCAAACAAAACCTTAAAATAAACGTACATTAAGCTCATATTTATAACTTACAGCTCCCAACTGCCACAACTCATTCATGGGATGCTTTCAGTCTATTTATTGGTAGTAATGTATTATCACAGCATTAAATTCCACAATCCCTTTCTCTTCCCATGAAAATGCTCGTTACCTTCACAGGCTGTGTATGTTGTTAGCATGCACACAGAGCTAAACACATAGTCATAATCACTCATGGTACATAATCAGTAGAGGCTGACAAACATTCCATAAAGCAATTCTTCAGAGATGCCTTCCTGAGTTTCTTAATCTGTCTCCACTGTCTACAGAGAAAGCCTAGACAATGAACTTGTGTAAAATTTGGGCATATAAATTTTGGCAAGGTGAATTAGACAGCTGAGACAATAAGTTATGTGAAGATTAGCCACTGATGTGCAGCTATGAAACACTGGAATCTARTATTAACAGTAACATTTAACAATCTTGCTTTATGCATCCAAGCATTGTAACTGAAAATTGGAAATATATACAATGCTTCAGACAAATCTGGAGCTCCTRACAAGTTCCACAAAAAGCAGGCATCCATTTGTTTCTTTAAATTACAGAGATGTMTTTGGTATCTCAAATCCAGATCAATTTTAGATCAGTAATAAAATGTTTTTACACCAACTGATGTTATGAATGCATGTTCCTGAAAGAGAACATGCTATTTTGGCAAATATATGAACCATATCGTGTCTTGATTATTTCAAGAAATTACAGTTCTACAGAGACCTGATGGTAGCTAAAAGGTTTGCTCCTTAGTACTTTAAGTCAATATCTAATTAAGTGACTTAAGAATTAAACAAAGAAATTACAATCCTGGCAACTCATTCTGTAATAAAATTATGCACATAAACTGATATATAGAAACATTTTTCTCATAAAAGAACAYGTAGCAATACCTGTAAATTACATTTACTTAAGAATTAATTATTTAAATTAATTACTTAAGTACTGCTAGTTAAAAAAAATATTTGATTCTATAAGCCTCAAATATATAAACTTCACATACTTCAAACATAATGAAAAAACTACATCTCACATAGTGAGCAGCCATTTTGTGTGGATTATTTAAAATACACTTACTTCTGCTTACTGGCCATATTTCGGCTGCTTTGTCGTTGGTTTGCCATTTGGAAATCCATGAATATTCCACTAAAAGAGCTTCTGACAGAAGAATACTGGCTTTCTGTGATATTGTAAAACATAGTTAGTGTTACAGTTCACACTTAAAAGTGCATGCAAATGTTAAGCAGTAAGTCTAAAAAGCAGCAGTTTTGTTTCAACAGAGCTGCTAAAAGGTCCTGGTTCCCATATTACAGAGAGTACTTCATCAGAGCTTTCAGTACAGTGAGTTTAACTTCAGCAAAGGGCCAGTATACAACCCTTACAATGGCTCTTTATCCATTAATTCAAAATGACTGACCATTGTAATTTTCACTTTGAAAGCTCACGATGCAGAAAGTGCCTTCTTCTTTTGCTATTAGCAGGTCCTTGTTCCCTACGTACCATAAAATGCTCCATGATCAATTCTAAAACTCATATTAAAGTCACACAGACTTCACCACGTGCACACTACACCCCTGAGTAAGAATTCATCACTACAGATAGTGGAGAACCTCATCAACACTGGCTTAACAAATATCCTCGGATGAATAAGGAAAACACTGAAAAYTGTTCCTTGAAAAGCCACAGTTAACAGAACAACTATGACAACTGATGTCARGTCTATCTTGCTGCCTTYCCTGGCTAGATCGTACCTAACTGAYCTTAATATSCAACTTCCAGTCAGGACTRGAGGTGCTTCACTTCCTCAAAGGAAGTCTGCCTTTTTAGGCARTACTTCTGAAATGCTTTTAAACTTATAAAAATAATTACCAGAATGATCAACCAGCATTTTAAGAAAATCAGACAAAAAGTTCATCAAAAAATAATGTCTTATGTAATTAAGAATAAAGCACCAAGTGCTACAATTCAGGAATTTAAAAATCTTTATTGATTCCATATTGTTAATTAGAAAAATAATAATTGCATAAATCTTCTGTAAGAAGAAATTCACATTAGAGTATATTGGTTCTGACTGCAATGACCACCAAATTGAAAATCTTTTGACAGGAGAGAATCTTCTAGGTTGGAAAAGACCTTTAAGAGATACTGCAAAGACTTATAGAAACTCCATGCTATTCTTCCACGACTGTACTAATTTTCTATGAACTAGACTAAAGAGCTATTAAATATTCTTTTGCACAATGATTCTATATGGATGTTCAGTGCAGGCTGCAAAGGAGAACCACAACTGTTCTYAGAAAAGTAGCTCTGGCACTCACAGGTATCAGATCAACTAAATGCCAGACAGCATTTGAAAGAGCCTTCATTTAAAAGAGATAAAGTGTTATATATTTGAGTAGTATTGATATTTCTCTTGCCTTCCCTCCAGAATAGTTGCTTTGACTTTGTTAAAAGGAAAAGGTGAATTTAATGCCAGCAGAAGCCCCAAACTGTTCCAGCACTCCTCAAGTTTTCAAAATCCAGACTCTCATATGCTCCTCTTACCCAAAATAAGATGTATTAAATGTCAGTCTGTACATTTTTATATTTCACATTTYAAATGATTAGTAATTCCTATGAATCATTTAGTAACGTGGACGCTACAGYGCTTATCCACAAACCTACATGACTCATACAGAGGACCAGATTTTGGTCTTTAGGCAGACTGCTAGAAAAGGTGGCCTGCTGACTTGTAAGTTCTATGTGTTACTCACACATTTAACAGAAAAAGACTGGTATCTAGTCACATACCCAAGACTGGTTCCTTTTTCTCATTTTCCAGTTTCTTTGGCAATGGATTAAAAATTCTATCATTTTCTGCAGTAATTGCTCTTTGAATTTCTTCAATTTCTGATGTTATGGAAAATGGAACCTCTCTTAGGTTTTCTTCTGCATCTCTTTCTTCACCACTTTTCTCTTCATCATCTTCAAAATCATCTTCATAGTCCTTTAAAAATAACAGAACTTTCAGTACTTASTGAACACTTGACTATAGATGTACTTTTCAAGATCTCTTACAGAAATGATAAAATGGTGTCAAAATAAAAAATCTCAATACAGATGGCTACAAATCCCCTGACTGAAAACTAAAATAACTGATAGAATGAAAATGGCATCTCTTGATTGTGCAGTAATTTTAATCATAGGAAGACAATCCCACAGTGCAGTTCTACAGTGCCCAAACCAGTCTTTTTTTAAATATCCTAAAGTAGATACTAGATGCTTAGGTGAATTATGTGCTCTTTAAAAAAATAAAGTAACACTGTTTAGYGGCATAAATGCTTCAGGGATGTACAAAGTTGTTTATTTGACAGTTTTAATTCAAGCTGTCCTTTAATGGCAGACTCACTTTTACTAAACTATCACATTCCCTGTCAATGCCTAACAGTTGTTGATTTTCTTAACTAAGACAATTCATCTCATACTAAAATGATCCCCAAACACAAATTATGGGAGCAAGTTTTAAATGTGCTTATTTCTCTTCACTGAATGGTAAAGGGCTACCACAATGAACAGCTCAACAGGGRACATCATCACTCCTGACATGAGTGCAGGTGAACTCTACCTGAATTGAMCAAACATGATTCTAGTTCAGCTCCCAATGAAAACACATACAACACACTCTTCTACCTTAATAACTTCAAAGCAGACAAAAGAGAGCTAAAAATAGGGAGCTCAATAAACAAATTAATGAAATGAATGCTGTGTGTCAGTACTTTTTTTCCGATGATATTTGATATCCTATGATAAACAGGCTTTTTTCATTTTTTACCTGAAATTATTAGCTCTGATTATTTAAACAATTCAGCATTTTTCACAGAAAGTCATTTAAATAATCGAAGTTCAGAAAAGCAGAGAAAACATTCTGTGAAGACTTCAAGTCAAAAGCAAAAGCTTGTTCCCAACCACTAAAGAAAAGTGATTAAATAGATAGCAGAGTTTCTACACAACATTTTAACTACTCACTGTCTAGTGTTAGCCAAATTAAGGTCAGTGTCACCAAAAAAATAACTAAAAAACATATAACATCCTGTTTATTTCTGTGAACAAAGTTATTCTATATTTTGATACTTAATATTCTATATTTTGATACTTAAGAATTACTTCAGACAGACAACTGTACACTCTTACTTACTTCAAAATCATCTTCATAATTTGGTGAAAAGTCATCAAGTCCTGTATCTGGATTAGAGATCGGTGTATCTTTCATTTCCTAAATGAGAAAAATAAATGAAGTTAAATAGTCTTACAAAAAAACCCTTTTATCTGCTAAATCTTAGGATATAGACTAATACTTGCTGTTCTCAGATATTTGTACATTTTTCAAGCAAACATACAGCATATAGCTTTTAAAGCTAAATAACAGTGTATTATCATGTGGTAATTACAGAATGTAATAGTACAGGAAGAAAAACAGAACTCAGCTTTATCTTGGGAAGAGCAATTGTTTTTCCACCAGTATTTTTACTGGAAAATACATAAAAACTGCTGTGCTGTCTACAATTTCATTGATGGTGTAACAACAAAGTTAAGACTGCTCCAAGCTTTTGAGGACTTSTCAAAATTATCCCTATATCTAAGTCATACTAGGGAACTCAAACTGTTAAACGAGTGGAAATGTTAAAACTAGGAAATTTTTGGTAAATAAATGGCATTATTTTAAACAAGTTAATAATCTAGAAAAAATAAACTTATTTGAAGTCATTGCAGGGATACCATACATCTTATTTCACATAAATAAAGAAGAGGATTCAATGTTAACTAATTATTTACATATAAAAATTATCTTGTTATATCCATGTCTCTGGTTTCAACATTTGACCTATGTTCTTAACATAGATTCTTAACATTCATAGATTGAATCCTCCAACATAACTTAGGTTGTGAGAAATTTCCCTAGTTTTCCTGCCTGCAAATTTGCAGGTACTCAGCAGTAACTAATTCACATAGTATAATTAATAGAACTTTTAAAAAATCTTTATTCCATTTAGCCAGACACCTTTAGCAACACAAAGGTGAGTCTTTGTTAGCTATTAGACTATATTTTTAGTGTTTATTGCCTCACTATAATCATCTCGGAATATGCCTATAGAGCTGTCAGTTTTATTAACAATAACAAAGCTTTTAACACTGTATCTGTATAGTTTTTACACACTAAAAACCCCCACCTCAATAGTTGTCTGGGTTCCTACTGTAAAGAATTTAAAGAGAAAATATGTATATTGTCAATTCAAAACAAGATTAGGAAGTCATGCTGAAATACATGGAATTTCAGCATTTTGAACAACAAATATACAAAAAAAAATCAACAGCATAAAATGCAAACCCCTGGAATTCGATTTAATTCTCCCTGTTGAGTCAGGTCTTAAGTAGGGATTTCACCCTCCTAGGTTGCCTCCTATTGCCAAGACAGAAGAGATAATGGAAAAGGAGAACAAATAAAAGGATGGAACYGCTTATTTCTCTCCACAAACTACAAATGAAATTTAGGTGCTCACCACAAACAATTCACACTTAMAGATAAGCTGAATCAAACAGCAGAAAATATGACAAAACTTTAAAAAAAATTCAAGGTAGCATTAGGCTGTATCTGCACAGACTGTTCCAAAAAAGCCCAAGTCTATATAGCTTGCACTGCAGACTTGCTGTAAATTTSGTTCTGTCTGCACATGTAAATTTAAAAATATTAAAATAATTTAAATAATTTCAAAATATAAGGATAATTTGCTGTTCCTTAGTTTTACCTCTCGTCTTGTGTCTGTCTCCTCTTCTTCAATGAGTTTTTCTTTATCTTTTACAGTCCTATTCAAAAAAGAGAACAACAATTTTATCGGTTAACTCATAAGAAAGCAGTTTTGCTTCACTTTTGTTTTCTGGGGATTTTGTTTGTTTTAGGAAAAAAAAAGTCTGTATCCTGAGAAGAAAAAAACCGCTGGAAACTTCCAATTAACTGAAATATTTCTACAAGTATTTTTATAGATCTCTATGATACAAAAGGATAATAAAACAACCAAATTATTAACCAGCAAAGAATTGCAGAAACCTTGTCCAAATCTACCACCTAAAACTGCATGAAAAAGCAAGAAAAAGTAATGAGGAAAAAAAATCAGTAAGCCCAAACATTTATTACTTGTATTAATACCTGCAGCAAACCAGAAATCAAKATCAGATTGGTGAAATATGCTCAAAAGCTATAAATTGAAGACTGACTTCAAACCTGCTTTTTCATTCAGGGGTCTTATCTATGAGGACAGTACAATCAGAGTCAGAGAGCWGGAGCAAATTGATAAGCATTGCTCCTTAATAATCTATTTGATTATTTTATCAGTAGAGAGTAGCAGACTTTGAGAATACACTTACTTCTTAAGTGTGTATTGCTGTATACCACTGTTAGGATTAATAAACATAGGAAAAGGCAACCAAAAAAAAATTAAAATTTGGCTGGATCCTGTTATATCAAATAAGGAATGATTTAACATTAACAATGCTTGAAGTTTACACAGGGTTTTGGGACATTCCACTAAATCATACTGCCTTCCCTGGCATTCAGGAATGCCTAAACTCTTCTTTCCCAGCTATGCACAATGACAGCCACAACCCCAGAAGCAGCAGCTTCAAAGTATCACCTGCTAACAAAATATTCAGCCTGCTGATACAGTTGAGTGCTGCAGTCAGGTAGCATCTGAATTTTTTTTTTCTTTTGTACAGGAATACACTTCCACAAATTCACTTTAAGCAAAGTGGTTTGTCCCATGCTTAACATTCGTAATACTGAGCCAACTTCACTGCCAGTGTCCTCAGAAGCAAACAACCCAGACTCGTCCTGACCCAGGAAGCTAAACTAGGGTTTGAAATGTGAATTGCAACCAGCAACAATCCCAGAGAATTAGACTTCAGAAAGTTGTATAAGGATTTCACAAGGCTCAAGAATTAAACAATTCAGAAACCTCAGTAAGATTTATATTTGCTACTAATAAAATGTAGAAATATAATCCTGAAATTTAACTGATCCTACTGAGGATATTTGGGCCTTTCCCTTTCACATTCAACTGCTATATATATATATATATATATATATATACATATATAAATTTATATATGTTTTAGATACTATCTAGGATAGGAACTAAGTACAGATACTCAATTTAAACTAAACAACATAACAGAGTCTTATAAGCTCTCATCATGAACCTTACGTGTGTCTACATGACTGCATAGTGAATTTCCAGATGGTAAAATACAGCATTTCTGTCTCCCAGACTAACATGTATGTTTTTTACAAGGACTGCAAAATATCTCTTTCTACCTTTCAAGCTGATGGCTCGTTTCTTCTTGAATCCTCTCCTCCTTTTTGTATTCGCTGCTCTGTAAAAGAAGTCACAATATTCATGAGTCAGACATGCTAGGAGGGAATATGTATATGAACCCATTATCAAACAGTCAGAAAGGTTACTAATAAGTTGTTTCAATTACAGACAATATTTTATTTCAGTCATTGTCTGTAACGTGTTCTGAAAAACTAGCAGGGGCTAAGGGCTGACCTTGGAAGGCTGTGGCCAGCCTGCTCCAGAGAAAGAGATTTTAACAGTATGTACCACAACAATTCACATAACTGGACTCAGGGACAGAACAGTCTCAGGTACTTTTAATCCCCAGTAGAGGAACTTGACTCTTAAATTCTGTACTATGATCATTTGCCTAAGTTTGGAAATATATTCAGTATATTGTTTAAGATAAAGGTGTTTGTCTCTATCTATGAACTTCAGAAAACAAAACAAATCTGGGATGGAAGCATCAGTGTGTGTGTTCTCCACCTGAGTAAACTTCCAAATGAATCAAACATTGAGCAAGCCCCTGATACTGTTGTCTGCTGCAGAAAGCCAGTTACAGGAATCATTCATGGAGGGCCCCTACACTGAAGGTGACTAGTATTTTCATCAGAAAATAAATTTTTGAGATTTTATTTCATAAGCTTGTACATCTTCACTTGTCAGGCAGCAGAAGAATGCACCCAGACCATCTCAACTATTCTACGTTCCATGAAACTTATTTGGTTTCAAGGGTTACAAATTACTAGATATTCCCTCTCTCAGTCTTGTAGAATGAATATTTATAGTATAAAAATCAGTAAAAAATGATGAATTTTTAACTATGTCTCTAGGATATAACATCATGCTCCATGAGAAACGTAAAAAATATTCTGTGACTTCAGAAATAGAGGCAAACCCCACAAATATATGGGATCTATACTCATGTGCCTACTTATGAGCTGGATAGCTGTGCTCCCTTCACAGACAACGTAAGAGTAGCTTCTATTAAAATACTTCTTTTTCACATACAGGCAACTAATAAACTTTAATGAACCTCAAGCCTTATGACATCTCCACTTCAAAATGTTTGCATAAATTTCAAAAGTCATAGCAATAAAGAATTTTATTAATAAAAGACGTTTCTAACATATAGGCAACTTTTTTGTTTAAATTTTATGGAGGAATCAATTTTGATTTAGCACACTTAACTGCAGATGCAGTGTTTTTATCTGCCAATTTAACCTCAAATTTCAGAAAAAGTTGACTTAAGTCAACTTAAAATCCTAGTATCTTTATTATTCCCTTACTGATAATGTATTGATAATTAAATACGTGATTAGGTAATGTTTTTACAAAACCTACCCTTAGATCATGCTTCTTTCTTTCATTTTCTCTACTTTTTACTCTCTCATTAGCTTCTGCTGCTAGCCCTTCTCTGTCTCCATGGGAAGATTTTTCTTTAGATCTCTTTGATTTATGTTTTTCTTCCTCTTCCTTTCCATAATGTTTATGACTTTTCTCTTTAGAAAGCTTCTCTTTCTCTGGCCCAACAGAATGTTCTTTTTTTTCTCTGTGTCTTCTTTCTCCCTCTTTATCCAACTGTTGATGTTTCTCTAACGTGTGCAGACGTTCACCTTCTTCACCTTTGTAGGCTAAATGTTTGTCAATTCTCTKTATTACATCATTATCCTGCAAAGAGGAAAACAGTATTAAAGCGTTAAAAAGTTCTCCAAGACTGTTTCATCTTCACAAATCTATCAATTTTTGATCTTTAAACAGATTGAATTTTAAGCACATAATCTTTCTGTCAAGTAGATCTTTCAGCCTTTTTTTTTACTTCCTATGATAGCAAGTTTCAAATTATGATTGMACTTGAGATTCTGAAACTTCTTTGGGGACACTGCATAATTTGCTGCAGAAACTTCTTTGGATCAGATGTTCTTCACACAAGAATTYACTCTTGCTTATTAGGTGTTCAAAAGCAGGACGTACACTCAACAATTACCCGTGTGATAAAGGCATAAATAGCAAATGGAAAATTTTGATGTAGCTGTACAAAAATGAAGCATTGTTTGCTATGAAAATTTTATTTTCATTCCTTTATGAAAAAAGGAATGAAATATGGCCTTAAAATAGGGTAGCTGAGACTTTGTGTTTTGAATACTTGTCAATATCTTACAAGCTATGCATCCTTTGGATTTCCTGGGAGCTGCAGTCTCATCGAGTTTCTTCATTATTCTACAATTTAATCTTATTCAATTGTGGAAACACTTCACCAATTTCCCTTCCTTTACCTTCTGTGCTTTATGCCTTCTTTCTCGCTCTTCAGTTCTTGCTTTCTCTTCCCCTAGAAAAGGGATGTATAAATTAGGGAACAAATTTGATAATACTCAAACTCTGTACACAATTAACTCTAGCCTGTAGAAAATAGTATTTCAGCRATGTGTTTTCTCTAACATATGAGCTTTCAAAAAGGAATTCTGTGGAAATTCTCTCTCCAAAGCTCGTTACTCCTTCTCTCTTAAATGAAAACCTCCACTCTCGTGTAATGCTAAGGGTAATAACACATGCTACTGATCTCAGCAATCCCCTGCAAGTGAATGGATCACTCAGTAGAGAAAGTCTAGGCAGGAAGGTACATGCCCTCTTAAAGTCAACTGACCAACAAAACCATCCTCTCTTCAGAGGACAGGAAACAAGCATTAAGTTTTTTAAGCATCAAAATAAAATCAGGTTACCACAACATTCCATAAGGATGCACATGCCAGCAGGTACTCTCACTGGCCTGTTTTATACTCYGTGCACAGAGTGTTCCTATCTAAATATCAAATATTTCCAAGCACAACAGCMATTTGAACTTACCCAAATGATGCCTGATTTCTCTTTTTCTGTGATGTTCTTTATCTCTTCCTTCAAATGATTTCAGATTATTTTGTGCATCTGTTTGCCTTATCTCCTGTGTCTTGTGCTTTTTGTCTTGCTCTCTATCAGTCTCCCTGTCTCTATGTTTTGGTACACTGTGTCTCTCCTTCTCCGAATGTGACTCTTGAAGCTTATCTTTGTGTCTCTCTCTGTCTCCTCTATGGTGTTCTTTTTCCYTTACACTTTCTCTCCTTTTATCCCTGTCTCTTTCACTAGATTTAAACCTCTCTCTCTCTCTTGTTCTTTCCTTGCTCTTCCCTCTGTCTTTGAGGTCATGTCTACTAGGGTCTATGTCATGAAAAGTTCTAGCTCTCTGAAGTTTCTTTTCTCTGTGCTTTCGGTCTTCATTTTGACTATCTGRTTGTGATGGCTGAAATAAAATAAAAAATCTATTATTATAATTCAGCAATCTATTTTGGTAAGAGYATATTCATATAAAAAACCCTGGTGGATTACTAAATGTGTACTTAATCTATCAAACCATATTAAAATGCTGATATATTTCTAGGTTTACTATGTAAATATTAACATTATGTCTGTGCTTACTTACAAAGAACTAATAAATGGAATAATAAGATACATAATGGAAAACAGCTTTTAAAAAATACAACAAAAACCTAATATAAGTATCAGTGATATAACTGACTGCAGCCTGAATGCATAGTTGACACGGGGATGATGTAATACATCAGTTTAAAAATACACGACGACCATGACAGATGATGACAATAAATATAACAGATAATATACATGCAGGCAGGTGAATAAGTATGTATGAAGCAGAGCAGTCACTTGGATTTGGGTGGCCAGCAAATCAGACCCCATTGACTGCTGTCTGGTTACTGTAACAATGCATTATTTCTATTTACCTAATTCAGAAATTTGTGGAGTAATCTTATATGACTCACATAGCTAGAAAGAGCCAAGKGGGCCAGCCTCTGGATAACCTTGGACTGGAGAGATTCCAGAACAGTTGTGACAAGGAACTCAGCAGCTATACATTAAACCTCTGTACCATTTGTATTCAGTGATGCAGATTTGAAGTATCTGGTGCACCAAAATGTATTAAAGAGCTACCACAGACCYGACAAGGCAGAGTGGCTTGTAGTGCTCTAAGGTAACTTAACATCAAGACTAGCAGAAAAAAAAAAATCAAACCACCTTTAGATGTTTCCAAAGTTCTTCTGCTTTCCAAGTGTCTTCTTTGGTTTTTCTCTAGWACAGAAAATGCAGAAAAGACTGAGTAACCAATTTGCAGAGCGAAGTAAATAATTTAACAATCATATTTCTCAGGAAAGGATCAAGGTACATATGGCAAGTATCACTGAAAGGATCATGCAAACAGTAATTTGATTTAGCCCTAACATCTRTTTATAGTAAACCTCACCTGACTGGACCTGAAAGAAGCCTAAAGCTCAGACTACATGTGTAAGTTCACTGCACATGAAATATCTGTCTGTAGCACTGAAGGTAAAAAGCTAAAAGATAATGAAACTGATCAAAATACACACAATGATTATTTCATTATAGCACTCCCTAGTTAAATAGGTTATATTTCTTCTATCCTCATTTGCAGAGTTCCTGCCCTTGGCTGCTTGACTGCTGCTAACAAGGCTAAATAAAAAAGTCATATTGTTTGAGATCACTAAAGGAAAGGAGGAATTTATCCTATTGAATATTTTAAGAAGTTCATTGCAGGATGATGACTACATCCAAATTGACATGATCAGGCTACCCTTATTCTCAAATTTAGACTTGGCAAAAGCTATCGAAGATGAACCTAATAATCACTGATAAATATTGTAATGATGAGCTGCACTGGTGGAAGAAAATAAACACATGGTGCCCATTTTTTTTTTCTTAATTCATTACATGGAACAGTATTTTAACAGTTTTTTTTTTTATTATTATTACACATGAAAACATCTCATCCTTTCAAATTTAGATCTTATAGAAGATTGTAATGGACTGGCAAACTTCATCTAAATTCAATAAGGAATCTCAAGAAGGCAGCATTTGTAATAAAAAGAAAGTGCCTTTTAAGTTTTATTTTCTTCTGATATTTAAAAAAGGCAAAAAACAAAGAATGCAAACATTTACTGTGGCAGAAAGTCAGATGAGAAAGTAAAAACAAAGATGAAAATTTTCTTAAGTCAAGCTTTAACAAAGCCTAAGAAACTCAACAGAACTTGTGTGAATGTAACCTGGAAGGCAGGATGTGGATGGAAAGAGAGCAGAATGCCATATTAGAGTCTCAAACAGTAATCTACTTAAAATCCCTAACATACATGACCATGGTTTTGGTTTTAGACAATATTTAGGTATGTATCAGCAAACAAAGAAAGAATGCTAATGATGTTAAGAGCATAAAATTAGCATAACCAGTTGACTTCATCAGATAAGGTAGCTTCACATTTATTTCAAAGCTGAAACAAAGGGCACACAGCACTCATTCAGAGGTGATTCTCTGGCACCCAATAATATGCATCTGMCAGTTTYTTGGGGTCTGCAGTTTTCACCTCCYCACCACAACCATAACCTGTTGCTTTTGTCTATGATGATTTTCTACTTAAATCTCTGCTTCTGCAAGAGTATAATAAACAGGGAAAAAAGGAGATATTTTAATAAGGTCTTAATAACATTGAGACCACTGCCCTGTAAATAAACATCCACACAAAAATGGTTAAAACAAACTTTCAAAGGATTTATTGAACTTTCTTACCTGTCTGCTAATTTAGAAACACTTATATACTCATTTAAATCCAGATGAAGATTAGTTACTTAAATGACACTGGGATTTAACTTAATTCATACACCTGAGAGCATTCAGCTCACATGAAATGCCACAGACTTACTGAACTCAAAACGTGCTATGAAARTTTTTACCATTTAAGAATCCGTCCCTTAATCTAAAGAAAAAGTAGTCAGTGGAACAAGAAACCTTGTTCCTTCAGATAAACTTTGAAAGAGATCAACAGGGTTTTCTTCACCCACAACTGGAAAGGTAAGACGTTTTCAGAGCATACTGTTAAGTTTTTAACTAATTTAAGAAATCAGTTAACTATAATTCTAAAGGAAAGGAAACAGAAGCACAGCAAGACACAATTCTACCGTTTTTAAGCCAAAGTACTTTATTTTTTTACGCATAAATATGTATTTTTCTTCTTTCCAATATCTTTCTATTCTTGCCAATTTGAGAGCCCTTAAATAGTTAAGAGCACAAGTGATAGAACAGAAGCAGAAAAAGGAGGGTTCCTCACACAGCGTGRCTGTTCCTGCCACTGCCTCTGGCCCTTCGGCACTCACAGCAACACACCCGAAAAATTTCAGAWCAAAGTTTAACTTTTCCATCACAACTCACTAGCTCACTGATTTGGCACTTCTGCTTTTTCATCTGAAAGTGTCACATAGCAATCGATGTCAGCACACGTATGTGGGTTTGTCTGCTTCATTCCGGAGCTCTACGAACTTTCAATAATTTAACACCTTAATGCAAAAGTTATGCGTGTTCCTGAAGAACTGGAGTCCGACAATTAGCGGTCACAGGAGCGCCAACTATTAAACATACTTTTATCTACAATGTGAAACCTTAACGACCTCCCGTCTGCAGGAGGATGCGCGGCTGGCACAATCTCACTCCTCTGCCAGAGGGATAAGGGTGATACGGATTGATTTCCTCGCTACGGCCGCTGTCGGGGGGGATTCACCGCCGTGCCGACAACACAAGGCGACCCGACCGGCCCCAGCAGAGCCGCGGGGGTTCTCGGGGGCAGCAGAGGAGACACCGGCGTTGTCCCCTGCCCTGCCCCGCTCGCCCGGCCGCTGCCCCTCACCTTGTCCCCGTCCATGGGGCCGGGAGGCCGCGTCCGCCGCCTCGGGCCGGGATCGGCGCTGCGTGCGGGCCCGCCCCGGCAACCAGGGCCCGCAGCCGCTCGCCGAGCGATGGATGCGCCGGCGCCGCCTGACGGGCGCTACGGCCGCGGGAAGGTTTTCCCGCTCCGGTGGATCCTTGTGGACAAGGACAAGGAGATCCTGGGGACCATAAGGAACAGCAGTGCCAGCAGGTCGGGAAGGTGGTCCTGTCTCTCTCCTCAGCTCTGCTGAGGCGCATCTGGAGCGCTGTGTCCCGTTCTGGGCTCCTCTGTATCAGAGACAAGGAGCTCCTGGAGCGGGTCCAGCCGAGGGCAACGAAGGTAATGAAGGGACTGAAGCATCCCTCTCACGAGAAAGGGCTGAGGGAGCTGGGTCTGTTCAGCCTTGAGAACCGATGACAGAATGGGGACCTCATTATGTATATAAATATCTATGCAGAGTGCCAAGAGGATGGAGCGAGCTCTTCCCTGTGGTGCCAAGCAATAGGACAAGAGGCAACGGACAGAAACTGATAGACAGAAATTTCCACCTGAACATGAGGAAGAATTTCTTCACTGTGGAGGTGACTGGGCACTGGAACAGATTGCCCAGAGAGGGTGTGGAGTCTCCCTCCCTGGAGATATTCCAGAACCATCTGGACACAATCCTGTGCCTTGTTCTCTGGGATGACCCTGCTTGGGCCAGATGACCCACTAGTCATATTCTAATTTCAAGAATTGTTGTACCTCAATCACTTCTTTACTGAAAGGAGGTGAGTTGGTGAATTGTGATGGAAAGACCAGATGAGCCACACTGCTCCCTTCCAACCTAAACTATTCTGTGATTCTGAGTTGTTGCCCAGCTGGGTTTCTACAGGTGAGGGCTTGGACAATGTGAGTTGTGGACGAGGCACCCTCACAGCCCTCAAGCACTGTTGTTCTCTGCACACCAGCCTATTCTAGGTTAAGTGTATCCATCCCTCATCGTGGCTGAGTCATTTTTAATAAACTTGTGCAAAATTACTGCAGGGCAAAAAAACTGTAAAAGAGTGCTATGCTTAATCTGCCACTTACCCAGGTGCTGGATAGAGGCAGATATGAAGAACACTTGTATACATAAATTAAAATGCTAATAATAATCCCCCAGTGGCAGGTACCAGAGCTGATTTCTGCAATAAAGCACAAATGGCAGCTCACCAAACACACTTGGAATGAGCTCGATGGTTGCCTGCAGGAAAGGTGTGTGTGCCATTTCACAGCAAATATTTACAACCCATTAACATGTGCAATTTAAAAGACCAAGTGAAAATTCCTCTTCATTTTTTAACTTTGTTCCCTATTTTGAGAGTGAAAAAAAAWGTAATGTGTAACTGCTACTGCTGATATTGATGGTTGTAGAAAACTGACTACTGGAAGGGGGGGAAAGCAAAGGAAGAGGCATTTTTGCAWTTGAGAAACATTCTTGCCATAGTTTGTGGCTGCCTTCAAAGAGATAAAATTTAACCCCTTATACTTGTTCTTAGATAGTCAGTTGATAAGTAAAAACTAACCCACGGTATCTTGCCTTGACTTCATAGTTCCAGAATAAATAAAAAATGCTTTAAAACTTTCCACTGTCCAAGCTGTGAAATATTTTCCTTTATCATGTAGCAGAAAAGTAAATCATGCAATTATCAGCAAAAAAAAACCCACCTTCATATTTTATTTTAAAAAAGCCACAAAACAAACAAAACACATGCACAAAAAAAAAACAATTAAAAAAGTCCAAACACACCAGCCATTACATGTAAGTATGACTTTGAAGGGCTAAATTACATCCACTAAATATAAGCATGACTAAAATATTTATAAGCTTTCTTATGAATTATTTATCCAGTTTTGGCAGAACAATAATAATCTATAAGCACCTGGGTTGGGGCAGCCCCCCAAATGAGCACAAGCTGGGGGATGAACAGATCAAGAGCAGCCCTGCCCGGAAGGAGTTGGGGGTGCTGTGCTGAGAGGCTGGACAGGAACCAGCCATGGGCACTCCCAGCCCAGAGAGCCAAACGTGTCCTGGGCTGTGGCCAAAGTCCTGTGGGCAGCAGGGACAGAGGGGATTCTGTCCCTCTGCTCTGCTCTGCTCTGCTCTGCTCTGCTCTGGTGAGACCCACCTGCAGTGCTGCCTCCAGCTCTGGAGTCCCCAGCATAGAAAGGACATCACACTGTGGGAAAGAGTCCAGAGGAGGCCACCAAGATGAGCAGAGGGATGGAGCACCTCTCCTACGAGGAAAGCTGAGAGAATTGGATTGTTTTGCCTGAGAAGGCTTTGGGGTGACCTAATTGCATCCTTCCAGTGCCTGAGGGGAGCCTGCAAGAAAGACAGAGAGGGCCCTTTTACAAGAGTATGTAGTGACGGGACAATGGCAATGCATTTAAACTAAGAGAGAGTAGGTTCAGATTGCGGGAAAAAAAATCTTTACTGTGAGGAACTGGCACAGGTTTTCCAGAGAAGCTGTGGCTGCCCCATCCCAGGCAATGTTCAAGACCAGGTTGGATGGAGCTCTGAGCAGCCTGGACTAGTGGAAGGTGTTCCTGCCCATGGCAAGAGAGTTATAACTAGATGATCTTAAAGGTCCCTTCCAACCTAAGCTTTGCTATGATTCTATGATTTTATGTTTTCTTCCTGAACATATAAAAATAGATGTAAAAACCATCTTTGATTACCTCCAAGAGCTCTTTAGCCACAAGTGGTGACAGTGTTACAAACACATGGAACTAAGCATCTGCTTAGGAAGGGATCTCTACAGAAATGCTGTCCTATCTATAAAGACTGAAAGACAAAACTATGTTTTAACTGAATTTTATTTTTAACAACATAGCAAAYACATAAAACTAAATAAGCAAATATGAAAGTGATACAAAAAACTGGACAGAACCAGCAGCTTTTTTCAATTTTTGTTTATCTTGTCTACTCTTTGGAACACACATATGTATTTACTGCAAAAAAAAAAAAAAGTATCAGTTTGAGCTGCTAATAACTTTTTTTTTCCTTAGTCCTATGATAGTATATACTAGTCAGGCAGCTTTAACGTGAGAAAAATTACAGATGTGGGAAAGTGCCACTAGAGGGTTTGGAAAGAAGTTTTCAAACCTTAATCCCAGGGATCAAACTGAGATTTAACTGCTGCATGAGAATGCAATACAGTAAATACATGAGAATACAACAGTAAAATTTGTGCATATTTAAGTGTTTTCCACCATGTATTAAAATAAACTACCATGTCTCACCAACRTAGTGGAGAAAATTAATACATCAATGGCTTGACTGCTTTTATAAAATGGGTGTTAGACTCAAGTGAATACAAGCAATAAAATGACACGTATCTGTTTTGTAAAGCCAGTATAAAAGGATGCCCTAGATTTTCTTGCCAAGAAAAGTGTTGTAAACAAGTGGTTTGGTAGCCCTGTGAATTTTATTACAACTTTAACTTCTATAGGTTTTTCTCTTGCCTGGCTTGGTACATATATCTTCTTCTCCACCTGCATTATCTGAAAAACAGGAATATAAAATAACTCAGCTTTTTATATTCTGTACTAATAAACTTTTTTGTTTGTTTTTATCTTTGGATGTTCCTCTAAGCCTGTGAAGCAATATTGCATTTTTCTTCCCCTCTGCATGGAATGACACATGAGAATATTACATCAAAAATACTGGAAATTCTATCCCTCAGAGGGACAACATGGCAACCTTCCACCATGCTGAAAAATCATGACTCACTTATTATTAAGAAAAAAAAAAGCTTTTTTTTTTGGTATGCAGGAAGCAACTTGTTAGGAACTAAGCTTTGTAGGCTTTTTTCCCCCCTTTTTTTTTAACCATTTTTTGCTGAGGCTTTTTGAAGATCAGAAAAAAATTTAAATATTTTTATCAGCAAATGGGCGTAAATGACCTCCTGCAAAATGTCATAATGTTTTTTTTAGTCCTCCAAGTTCTTAACCAAACAACAAAAATGTGGATCTCTGCCGTAAAATTTGTCTTTAGTTTTGAACTTGTAATGATCACACAAGGGGGAAAAAAGGAGACTGTAATTATTGTGAAAACTTATTAAGAAACRCATTTTAGTGGAAAGCATTTGTCTTCAGGAACAATAAATATTTGARGATCTTGTCATGAGCCTACGATTTATGCATTCAGTGAAACTGAARCCAGGGATCACATACATAACTTTTCTCCAAACAGAAGCTCAGGTATGTTAGTCTTTCAACTCTTCTTTATGTTATAATTAGATAATTTGAAGCAGGCAGGAAATATCTGTGGTCTATACTAGATAATCTGGAGCAGGCTGAGACAGCTGGATAAAACTGTGAACAGAAGTAGACAGTATTCTATCATGAGAATCTACTAGGATAGATTTCATGTAAACTATGTTTTCATTAATAATTAAWTTTTTTAAGGATAAAGTTCCTCAGCAGAAATTCTCAGATTTCTATTCAATAAAGATTTCTCTTCAATAGCTAAAATACTCTAGAGAGAACCATTAGACTAAAATAATCTTGTTGGGTAAAGTCAGGGGCAATACCACGTATTGTCCTTCAGGAAAATAAACTGTTACTGAACATGSTCATGAAGTAACAGGTAAAATTGCTTCCAAAACATGTTGTCTTATGTGAAATCCAAAAAAGTCAGGAAAACTTAGGTTTTCTTTCTTACAACATAAACTGAATTTTCCCACTTATTCTCAAAAATCATGCATAAAGGTCTTTGGGGAAGTTATTCTGAAGAGCAGTGCCAGTACTTACTGGGGAAAAAAAATCATCACTGCTGCTGATGCAAGGTAAAAGTAAACATAGGATGACGCCACATCGTGACAAAAGCTATTGCATTTGAGAGAGCAAAAAGGAGAAGCAAACACATGGCTGAGAATGGGTATAAAGGAATACTGCAAGCAAAAAGTATTAATTAAAATTCTGATGATGGAACTRAAGGCCTAAGAAGATAGGATGGGAAAAGAATAATTATTATCTAAATGAAATAAATATAATCAGCTGTGCAGGTAATACACCTGATTATAGGATATGTAAGGAGAAGCCATAGCAATCTCTGGGCCATAAGTGATAATCTTCAAGAATTCCTGATGCACACAATACTGCTTTTTTAAATGTTAAAATGAGGAAACATGTGAATTAACAATTCCAAGATTCTTAAACAAATTATTAAACTATTTATCAGGACCAAAACGAGTACAATAAACAAATAGCTAGTGTTTATCCAGAACATTTTATTAAAAATTTTATCATGGAGTGACTGACCCTAATTTATCCCCTAGCAGCAGACTTTATATCTTGATTTTAACAAGACTCTTTTTTTTCTGTTACAACAGCGGGTATGCTAATTGCATACCATCCACCTTCTTCATCAAAATATTGTGTGGGCCCAAGTCAGTTATTTATAGAAGTTCTTAGAAGTCAGCAGTAACCTCTTTATCAGAACTTTCTCTTGATGTACAGATAAACGTTATCAAACTCATGCTACAGGATCTTGCTTCTGTTTTCCTATTTGATTGGCACATTATCACCCACTTTTAGTTCTGATTAATCAAACTTCCATATCAATTAATGAATTACTCTRCCCAGTCAACAATTATGTTGTATGTTTGTCATCCTAAATGCTCCTACAAGATCAATTTTTATTTCCTGTTGTGTTTCTCCATTGTATTTAATTTTTCGCATGGGGTACTCCTCTAAATTCTGTATCCACCTCATTTTCAAAATACACATTGGACACATATGACAGCAGAATATGTAGCATATGTAAAGTGTTACTTGCCCAAATACCATATTAATTCAATCACTTTCTTTTCTCTCACTTTGAATTTTCATTTTAGTTTGTGGTACAGTTGTATTCTGTGAGGCCAGATTGGGAAATAAAATGGACARTGGAATCCAAGGCTGAAAACAAAAGACTTGGAAAAAGGATAGCATATTAATAGTACTGGTTGTAATGGAGGAAACCAACAATATGGCCATTTGTACTAGGTGTTACTGATGTTCAGGAGTGAGGAATTCACATTAAAAACACATTATAAGCAGAATAAGTAATTAGAAAAGGAATTCAATAAATGCAAACATCACCCAGATTTACTGTAGTACWGGGTCACAGGTCATATTTCATACCCTCAGTTTAAGGTTACAACCTTTTCTAGGGTGTTAAGCTGCTCTTCAGTTCACTCCCTGTTACAACCTGTAGGTGTTTTGAGTTCTTTAGAAGACCCAAAGAAAATTATAATTTCGAAGCTTGGATTACCACCTAGTTGTAAATAATTGATTTTTTTTAACTTCTTTGTGTATTGTTTGGTTGTTCAGAATTTCCATCCTGAGTAACCTAAATAGATAGATGGGAACATACACTGTCAATGGTAAAGTAGAAGAGCAGCCTGAGTCTATGGCCAGAAATTGTTTTGGCATACAGTGGTCCGTTGAGTCTGATGGCAGGCATGGGAGGATTTTGGAAAGGTGAGAAAACAGAACAGCACATTCTGTTGTCAAAACATGGATTTTTTTTTTTCCAATTCTACGGTGCAGTACTAAGTAAGTAACTTTGATGCCATTGCCTCTATGACTTTGCCTTTCTCTGAATAGTTGAAGTTACCTCCACTTCTTAAAAAAATGAAGCTTATACAGCTTTCCTATTTGTCCATTTGTGTTAGTTTTCCTAACTTTTCAGCCTATTGGCTAAATTCATTCTTCCCTCTTTCCTGCCTGCAAATACTAAGTGTCAAAGTCCTACACATTTCGTGAAAATTGGCATCAGAAGAGAGGAGAAAGGACCCTCATCACACTAAGTGAAAGGTTAGCTGTTTAAAGCCAAAAGAAAAAMCCCCAAACTCCCGGTAAATGCTGAGTTTTATCTGCGAGTGTGTACCAGCAAACTGATTAGGACACAGCTAAGGACAAGCAACATCTGCCTCTTACGAAACTGGTGGCTACATTAAAGTTATTTGAAAAGATAAAGGAATGATAGGAGGAATGATGTGGGAACCACGTCCGGAAAGGATACTGGACACAAGCCTGTWATAAAAYCAGCTTTTTCAGTTTAACAAATTGYAAAACAGTGCGTGCCACCCTCGGTACTCGCGCATGTTAACGACATGACACAGGAGGCAGCCTTATGTGAGAATGTGAGCAAAGCTTCAGGAAACACCTGTTGTAGCTAAGGCGCGGAGCGACCAGCATCTGGCTTTTTCGAGGCATTGATCAGTCTCTCCGTTAATAGTACCCATCAACAGGGAACAAAGGCAGACACGAAGATTGTTATCGAAGGGCGTAACAGGTAGAAACCAYCCAGCCGCGTACGTGAGAACGGGARACGGTGTGGTTTTGTTTTGAGGAAGCGCACACATGCCTTGGCACGCTTGTCCTGTTCCTGCCACCCCCCAAGAGCCCCCTTCCTCCCGGTGGCTCCCGGAGCCGCGCTCCTGTTCCCGCATTGCCGGAGGCCGCGCAGCGATGGCCGCGGCCCCGAGCGCTGCCGGGCGCGGGGTCCGAGCGGACGCGGTCTCGGCGGCGGTGCGAACCCGCGCTTCCCGGGCAGGCCTGCGAGGGAGGGATGAGCGAGAGGCGGAGGGGAGGGGAARAGGCTGCCCGGGGCGGGGGAGACGGCGGGCAGAGGCGTTCGTGCGGCGGCCGGGCGCCAATAGCGGCGGCCGGAGCCGAGCCACCTCCTCCCGGCGGCGGCGATCGGGGCCGGGCCGGCGGGGCCCGGAAGCGGCGGCGGGTGGTGCTGGAGCGCGGTGAGCGGGGCCGGGCGCGGGATGCGAGGAGGCGCCGCCGCCGCCCTGCCCCCTGCCCGCTCGCAGCCAGCGCCCGAGGAGGAGGAGGAGCAGCGGGAGGAGCGGCAGCAGCAGTAGGAGCCGCCGCTGCGGTAGCATGAGCGGGGCAGCCGCTAAGCAAACCCCCGGCGCGGGGTCCACCGCGGATCCCCCTGCGGAGAACGCGGCGGCTGCAGACCCTGTGCCGGAGTCGCCTCCACCGCTGCTGAGCGTGGATGTGACGGGTTTGGTGTCGCAGTTTGCGAGGAGCTTCGTGCTGATCTTTCCCGTGTATGTGCTGGGCTACCTGGGGCTGAGCTTCAGCTGGGTGCTCATCGCCCTGTGCGGGCTCTTCTGGATCCGCAGGCACCGCGGCGGCAAGAGCTCCCGCCTGGGCCGGGCACTCGCCTTCCTGGAGGACGAGGAGGAGGCGGTGCGGCTCAGCGTCTCCTCCGCGGATCTGCCTGCGTGGGTGAGTGGCCAACACCCTTCGGCGCTGCCGGGAGCACCCGCGCCCGGCGGGCCGGGCCCTGTTACCCTGCCGGGACCTGCGTGACACCCACCCCCGCGGCGGTGTCCCCCGCCCGGGCACGCGGGGCTGCGACACAGGCCGGAGGCCGGGGCCCCAGAGCCGGCCTGGCGGGAGGGACGAAGGGAGGGGGTGARGGCACTGCATCTCCCGCGTCCCATGGCTGCTTGTCCCGGTTCGCCAGCCTCTTCCGAGACGGGTTCAGCGGGCGGGCAGCGTGTCCCTTCCCACCCTCCCTCCGCCGGGGTGGCCTGTCCCTGTCCCCGCTGCCCGCTCCGCTACTCCCGCGGCGCTGCCGGGCGGTGACAGCCTGACCCTGCCGTGGCCGGGGTTTCCCTCGCAGAAATAAACTTTCCTGCAGGGTTTGGGTTGCTTTCCCCTCAGGTGTCAGTGACGCGCATGGCTTGGCTCTAGCGCGGTCTTTCTACAGAACGCGGATGTCGCGGCTTGGGCCGTTCCTTAGGAAGTTGAGAGGGAAATAGAATCGGGCTCTTAACGCCGTTAGGGCTTTCAGCAAAGTGTTACC